GAAACTTTATTCCTGGCAATGTATGGCAGACAATCCATGGGGGCAGAATGTACAAAAACCTATACATGTTGCTTGAACAACAGATGAATCGTTTAATCTTCGGCACACCATAGCTCTGGCATCTTGCCTCGTGCCATGCATCATTGCCATAAGCACCTTCAGCGTAGGAAGTGTCAGAGGGTTAGAGCATCAATTGTACATTTCAGATTTTCAAAGTGTCTTTTTCTTCTGAGTTTCTTCCAACCAACAGCTCATTCTGCGTCATGAGTCATGTGTCCTTGGATGCAGCAAGTGCTGTCCCTCAGGCGAGACACTCGCTTATAGGGGAGCTCCTCAACCAGGACCTGCAGGCCAGAGGCCAAAGCAAGAGAACTGAAGCTCCGTAAGGACACCTGGTTAAAAAATCGGACAGGCAAATATGTCCTTGGATCGCTTGGAAGGTTGACTTCAGCTCATACACCATTTATTGCATTCCCAGATCCAGATGTGCCACAGGCCAGGCTGCAGGCGTCTGCGAAGGCGGCGAGTGCCACAAGCAACTCCTCAACCACTGCATCGGCGGCAGGCGGAGTCATGGTGGAGCGGTAGACCCCAGCTACGGCAATTACAAGGAACATGCGGGACAAGATGGGAGATTCCCAACAGCAGCCCGATAGCGTGCTTTGTACGGATCCCCAAAGCCCCCTTATAAGCTCCATGGACACCCAGGGTCCTAGGGCCCCACTTTTTCAGAACTTCAACTATAAAGTGACTGTACGTAATGTCATCCCATAAGCTGTGCACACGAGGAATACGGGAGACCAAATGCTGAGCTTCTGGCGGTTCTTTGCCGTCTTTGAAGTAGACCCTTTCAGCCTGCCAGAATGACAATTCCTGAGATCTCACTTCAAAACATCTAGCGCTCGGCAGAGGTACCTCCACAGTGACATCAGCAGCCACGCGGCTCGGCTTCCACTCCCGGGCTTTCCTTTTTCAGGGTTTAGGGTTTAGGGAGGATCGGGAAGTTCGGAGTTGAGTTTTTTTGTGGGCTTCGAGTTCGAGGTCGAGAGCTGGTTTCTTGGAATGAGGAGGATCTCAGATTTAGGCAGGTGCTTGAGAGATCCCCAGCACTGCGGAAAAACGACACCTCCCAAGACTCCTGTGAGCACGTGATCAAATAGGCCCCTTTTGACTTTGCTGAATGTAGGCAATGTAATGGGCTTTCAGAATTTTTCTGGATGGGATGCGGCAAATTCGATCTTCACGGCAAGGACGAAAGGATTCCCAACAAATAGTATTTCATAGTCAGCTGTTTATATGCTTTAACCTTTAACGATCCTGCAGGCTGCAGATCGGCAACTCAGAGGGAGACCTCGTGGCCTTCCTGGCATCGTTCCGCGGCTGCGGCTCTTGTTGTTGAAAGCTCTAGTAGGGGGTTTCCCAAAATTGGGGG